CCCCAAAACCCCAAAACCCCAAAACCCCGTGGACAAAGGTTCTCATTGAAGTTAGAGTTCTGGATGATCTTCGGCTTTGTAAAATAAGATGTAGGAATCTGGTCGCTGATAAAGATCCAAGGTTTCAGACACTGTATAACAGGAAGTGTTGTCAAAGAGCACCCATTCAGACTCACGCTTGCAAATAGCACTGTAGTGGTTGTAGATAAGAGCTTGGGATTTTCAGATGATGCTTTCGAGAGTGTAGGTTACGGTCTGAGAGTCAAGAGTGGATAGAGAAAAACTGTCTTTGTAATCTATTGGTTTGTCTGATTGAGTCTGGCTCTTTCACTCTTCTTTCTGGATTACTATGAGAAGATATTTGGGATATTTTATGATCTTCCTTGCTAACATTCAGAGGCTGTCACACTGACACTTTTTACATCGATAATGACAATATTGACCTCTATTGATATTAGCTAAAAACTCCTCGAATACTGATGTTGAGGACTGGTGGGTACAATCCAATTGTATATATTTAAATTCATCATAAATTATGTTATCATTCCCTCAATCTTGTCAAGCATATATTAGCTTGGACAACCCCACGAAGAGTTGGTCAACTATTGATGGATGGCTTTTCTCATATTCCTGTCATATATCTTTATAGTTCAGAGAGTCATTTGGAATAAATGGAGCCATTGTTGGGTTTATCTCCTTTTGTATATCTTCGAACAAAACCATCAATAAATCAAAAGAGTCGTGATGGCGAAATCTTGGAAACACTTTGGTAAAGCAGCGCCTGATATTCATAATATCAATTTCCTTGTAATTGTCATCGAAGTATCTTCTCTTAAAATCCTTGATTTCATTCGAAACACTCATTTGTAGATTGAACTTGAAATCCCAAGTATCCTTCATTTCTTCATTCTCTTGGGATCTGAAGAACTCAGGGATAGAAATCAAACACTGCAAGGCACTAGTAAGGAATGAATCAAAGTCAGGACTCCTAATTCCTTTGCATGTCTTAGAATTCACTTCTTTCTGTCTTTTGGTTTCCAGTATCTTATTTAGTTGCTCTTTCTCCTGCTGTATTTTATTTTCCCCTTCCTCTTCTCTTTCTGTTTCTTCTTTTTCTCTCTCTTCTTTTTCACCTTTTACGTGTTCTCCTTCTTCATCTTCTTCCTTAACTTTCTCCTCTTTAACCTCTAATTCCTCTCCAACTTCCTCTCCACCTTTAGTCTTACCATTCCTTCAGCATCAAACACAGCTACAACAAAACTTAATTTCTCTACAAACCAGTCACAATAATTCATAAGAAATATAAACCCCAATCATACATTCCACTAGGACAACTGCTGTTTCCATTTTCATAATTTGTTCTAAAATTTATACCGATTTATGCAATTAATATGGTATGAGTGGGGTTTTGGGGTTTTGGGGTTTTGGGGTTTTGGGG